CCAGTCTTTGTGTTGGTCAGCGACTCTTAAAGAGGCCCCATTATTCTTTTTTCCCTTTCATGTAGTGTCGTTATTGTTTTAGGTGGCACTGTTGGTTGCAACGACTAACAAACCCAAAGTTCCCTCCCGGATGGATTTCTTCCCACTGGACCCTCCTGTGTTAACTTCTGAAATACCATGACATCACCTACATGTAATACTGACGGCTACTATTGGCCTAGCGCCTCAACACAGATGTTCATGATAGCTGCTCCGCCCGCGCCGGCGCGGACAACTTCTGTGGACAGAGAGCGCCTCGTTAAGTGGTTCAACCAATACGTAACCCAGACGCCGGCCAGCCGTAACCACATCAGAGCAGCCACTCTGGGCTCTGGTCTCCAGACAGGAGGGTGAAAACGGAGGGTGCTGCAGCCAGGTAGTCGTAGCAAAAAAAAAAATAACAGACAGAAAGCCAAGCGAGACACCAAACAAGTCCCCACAAAAGACACAGAAAATCCACAAACATGCAACCTAGTATATGATGACATCTCATGTGGGCCCCTATACCCTCGGCCCTGCTAACACGAGAGAGTGCGTGGACTTGGAGTATCAACCATCGGAGCTCTCATCATCTCCTAACAGCGCTGCTGCCTGTGAGCCTGTGCCCTGCTGTGTTTTTAGAAAGTGACTCATCATTTGTATTTGTGCACGTACAGTAACCGCACACTCGACCCAACCGGCCAACGGACTAGAGCAACACTTATTATTCACTCTTCTTCTCACTGGGTGCTCAGTTTCTTCACTCTGCGACATACCTTCAGATGTTCAGTTATTGGCCATTTTGGAGCCTACTTTTCCCTCTTAATACCGTCTTTCCTTCGCTCCAATCGCCAAACTCTTCTGGCGACTGTTTAAGCCTCGTCCGTCGCAGCTTCCTGTTGCAAGCTCGTGCGCGCTCTTAACACGCAAAAAGTAATCATCGTCTCAGTGAAACCACTTTCCTCACTTACCCCTTGAGCTCTGGGTCAACCGTGCAGGTCACATCGCCTCCCATTGGTGGCTCCCAATACATGTGCTCTTCACTTGCACTCAATGGACGGCTGCAGTCCACCACCAGCTTGCTGCAGATCTGTAGATACATCGTTTTGGTTTTAGAAGTGAAACATACCTTCGTGTTTACGATTTCCCCAGACCTAGTTGACCTTTCTCAGTCGTTTTTTTTTTAAGCAGCGTGGATGTTACGTCCACCTGTCAAGCGACGGTTGATTGAAACTTCATCTTGAATCCATTCCATCAGACTGCAAAATCATGTAATAAATTAGAACCTGAGCCTTGGACAAACCGAGGTAGAAAAAAAGCTGCTGGAAATACTAGGTTTCCTTATTCCCCGGCTGTGTTATGCCTTGATCAAGCTGTGTATCATATTCATGATACATTTTAACAAGCTATGATTGGAAGTTAAGGGTAGAACTGGTTATAAAATGTCAAAACGTTCTATGGTCTTGATTAGAGATTTCTACAAATGATGCCATATTCTGAAATCATGAGGGTTTCCCTCTAAAGTGTTGCTGGATACTGACGGGTCCCTTGAAGCTAGCAGCATCCTGTTTGTTCGGGAAAGATAGAAATGTTTCCGTTGGGAAAAGACAATATTGCCTAAATTCGTTCCCCAAATTAACCCTACTCTTTTCCTGATAAAGCTACATACACACAAAGACTCTTGTATACTCAGCTGAAGGATAGCTCGCTAATGCTCTAAGCAACAAGGCTAATGTCCAGCTGTTAGCAGACAGTGCGGCAGCACAACTACTAATCCGACTAATGTTATGCTGTTAGCAGACAGTGGGCAGCACAGTACTGAATGGCTAATGTTACAGGAGCAAGGTTCTCTGTAGTACAACATTCTGATGTGTCGTACGTTTGGTTCAGTAAAGACCCGCTTGTGCTTGGCGGTAAACTTTGACATAGAGTTTTGCTCAAACCTCTGCAAAATGGTTATTTATGGTCAAAACTGTTCATAAATACAACAGTTTTGAGACGTTTTTCAGTCAATATGAACATGGAGATAAGAGAGGGATTATGATTTCTAATCGACAAATAAAATCACAAATAAGATGAAGCATAATGCTAATAGTAGTACAATATACCAAATGGGTAATGAGAATCTTAATTTTCTGGTAGAATTTCTGGTACTCGTGACCCATCCCATTGTCCCAGGGGTTCCAAACTTTGCCCATGCCTCATATAGCATTATCCTCTGGTGGGGACCCCCTGTTGCATATATAAAAAAAAATGATGTGTACAAGTGCTCGCGATGGAGCATGCAGTGTGTTGCCACTACATTTGGGGCCTTCTGCCTGATCAAAGCTGTCACTCCGCTTTTTTTGCCTGTCATAGCCCCACTGCCCCATCTGAACACACACCCACACAACGAGACCAGTCAAGTCCATTTGAGACGATGTACTCATCTAAAACTTGGAAAATGTCTCTTCATGTGGTCATACCTTCCAGTGCTTTGTAAAATAATATTTCCTCAACAAAGTTGTCTTCTGAAATAAATCTGATGCATGCAAGCAATTCTGCGACATTTGCTACATCCGTGCTCTCATCCAGCTGCAGAGCGAAACATTCACTAGCTCTCACTTGCTCCAAAAGCTGAGCAGATACTCAGTTTCACTCTCAGTAGCGGCAGCTCGATTCTGATTGGCTTGAAGGGCGGTCGTGTGATTAAAAAAATATATATATTAAAAGATTGGCATCAAAGGACACATAGATTGATTGATATGCAGTTATGAATAACATCTAAAAAAAATTAAAAAAACTCAAACGTGTGACCCCGGGGGGTCGGGGCCCCCACAAAACACTGCCTTGTCCCAACCTCATTATACCCATAACAGTTTAATCAAGTTCTTAAAGATGATCAGATAGGTCCTGATTTGTATCAAGATATTAGCGCATTTTAGACTTTCTTTTGGCAAGGTTCTTGTGTTAATATGACAGTTAGCGTTGCCAAACTGGAGCTCTTTTTGTTAAATGTTGTATATAAAAAACATCTATCAAATAAAGATGTTGAAGAAGTATAACTTGGCATTGGTTATACAGAACAGATAATTGGATAAAGCAGGTTGATTAGTGTCTAAACGCATGTCAGAAGGTGATGGTAGGTAAAGACGAGGTTGTGCCAAGACGGACAACCTTTTTTTTTATTTAGTCATTGAACCTGGAGGGCAGATCTGTGTATCCTTCTCTGTGACTCTCTCCATCCCCACCTCTGTCTCACCCTCTCTGCTTCCCCTCTCTGACTGTCATTCCACATTTATGACCGGCCTGTGTGATGTGTACCCAAGACAGATGGGGCACGGCAAGATGGCCGCTGTTGCCCTGGCAACAGAATGGAGAGGGAACAGAGGAGAGAGTGAAAGATTATTCTCTTTTTGGTTTGGATGCTCAGGTTATCAGGGAGATGCAGAGAATATGTGAAGAGGGCAGCAGGGACACACAAAAGGAGACTTGTAGTGCTTCACTTTCTCTGCAGCAGCTTCTCTCTGGACAGCGGAGCTCAAATCAGAAAATCAGTGTCCCTCTGTACAGTGAACATCTCACTTCTTGGTATTTAGATAGAACAATCCATTTGTTCATCAGCAATTTCACACAAACCTTGAATTTAACGTACAGGGAAAGTGTGTGTGTGTGTGTGTGTGTGTGTGTGTGTGTGTGTGTGTGTGTGTGTGTGTGTGTGTGTGTGTGTGTGTGTGTGTGTGTGAGAGACTGATGCATAGCCAAAACCGGAAGCTGTGATAACTCTGGTGGCTACCATTTGCAGCTAACTTTTACTCTCCGATATATACAAAAAAATGGAATTATGGATTATAATTTTTTTTTTCAAATCGACAGACACATTATCAACCTATGGATTAACCGATTCAGCCACGTTTTTTCTCGTTTTAATGCCATTGAACAAGCCTTTTGATCAGATTGACAGCTATGGTGAGACGATCTCCCGTAAAAGCTCCGTAAAGGTACGTGTTGTGATGTCCGTGTTTGCTGTTGCGAGTTCGGATCGCTCAGTGATGATACTATACCTAAATAATCTGTGGAACCTCAGCTTTAATCGGATATCTTGTATGTGCAACTGCGATAAGTAATAAGGGTACTTTTATCTTGAGTTCTGTGCCAAAGTGCGTTTGCATTTTTCGCTCAGGGGTAATTTAGATGCTTCTTATGAGACTTGTTTTTTTTGTTTTGGTAAAAATGGTTTGTATCGTCAGTTAGCTGAGATTCTTCCCGTTAATCTGGTATAACACATTAATAGGTTCTTAAATATTAAGATGCCCTGAGACACAGTGTCGTGAAAAAAACTTTGGGGCTTAACGAGTTGGTCAAATTGGCCAAAACCAACATATATTACTTTATGATGGTATTGATTACAATGCTAGCCCACAAAATTCAGTTTAGCATTATAAGTAGATGTACTTTATGTTGGTCGAGCCTTGTTTGATGAGTGCTTACAGTGTTGCTGTTGTTCCTCCAGGCGTACATGAACTACAAAAAGCAGAGCACCGACGGGTGGAGCATTGGCAACGTGCTGCTGGACTTCACAGGGGGAGTCCTCAGTATTCTGCAGATGATCCTTCAGTCTTACAACAACGGTAACTATGGCAGCGAACATTGCTAACAACATTTACTGGCAGCTATATATGTCCATGATGTTTGAACGCAGTATAAAGCCACAGCCATTAGCTAGCCTAACACAGGACTAACATGCACTTAAGGCCTGCACGGCTACATAACACAAAGCACAGAGCAACACACACAGGAGACTTAGGTCTGACCTCAGGAACAGGTTACTCCACGTTATCTCTATGTAGCTAATATTTGTTTTCCACTATATTAATGCCCTGACTAAAGTAAATAGTCAACTTGTGTATTTGACACAATGTTAATTTAAGTTTCTGTGGTTTAAACCCCTAAACTAAAAAAACAGCGGAGCTCCATTGGACCAAATGAAGTTAGTATAATATGCCTAAAGACTGAATTTTCATGTAGATGTATTCAGGGCCTACCTATGTCAAAAAAGGGGGATGATTGGATTATTTCAGAGCATCGACTGGAAACTAAAATGTTGACACTGGATCTGATTTTAATTATATTTGTCTTTTTCATAATTGTTGAGCTTATTCCTAACAATTGTTTTTTAAATAGGCAAAAGTGTAATCTTTCCTTAAGTGTAAAGGAAATCTGTCATCCCAAGAAAAAACATGCAAACACGTTGTTTGTCAGTATAAAGCCTGGTTTTCAATCATTGTGGCCTCAGAGACACTCCCTAAGGTAGCTGTGAAATGATGTAGAAACTCCCTTAAACATCAGTTCATATCTTTTATACAATTTGAGAATAAGGTGAAAAATGGAAGTGGTCTGCTGGCAATAATGTCCAGCATAGTGATCATGTGACTGACAGCTGTGTTTCTCTCCTCAGACGAGTGGAGGCTTATATTTGGCGATCCCACCAAGTTCGGTCTGGGTGTTTTCTCCGTGGTGTTCGACATCCTCTTCATGACTCAGCACTACTGTCTCTACAGACAGCGGCCACAGTATGAAGCTTTTATTGGGCTACCAGACTGATGCTGCCTGTAGACGGAGTGTCAAAATAACCTTACAAAGGAGCACGCACAATAAGCACATACTGTTTCAAACTGCTGAAGAGAAGTTGTGGTGCCTGTCGTATTTGACTTCCATCATATGTTCTCTTCAGCAGCTTGCCTTTTTAAAATGTATATCTCAGGGTTAGGGGGCTTTTTTTCTTTACTCTGTTTGACAATTATTGATAGAATGTATAAGAACCAATTATGTCACGATGACGATGTATGCACCTTCTTTTTTTTTTATTAAATGAAGATTACCACTAAAATCATTCTTCTTTTTTTTGCATAACTAGGTTCTGATTGATGAATTGCCATGCTAGTATTATCAGACACAGATCAGAAACAAGAAATGACAAAGATATGTTTCAGGTTATAGATGCCATCTTTACACCTGGCATTATAATGTGCTTTAGGTAATCAGACTGCATTGGAAAGTGCTTGACCACATTACAGTACAGGAAAATGTATCATATAGGTGTTGTGGAAGGATTGTGATCCAGAGGTAGTCGGAGTGTCACTACATTGAACACAAGCGTCTTCAGTCCATATACAACCACTGAGCTCTGAACATCCAGTTGTTCTCATTTTGCACCTGCAATATTAAACAACATGAACAATCCAAAGATGTATCCTTAGTGCAATTTAAATTGTTCTAATTTCATCCTAATTCACTTTCAGCTTTCATGTTTTTGTTGTTTCATTCAACTTAAACTTGATCTGCTTTAGTTATAATTAACATTTTTTAAAGGGGCGTTATTATGCTTTTTGGGGTTTCTGATTTCCTGTAGTGTGTTTTGTAGGTGCTGCAGCACAGGCAGTATGAGACATATAAAGAGCTTTTTGAACATTAAAGCATGGAAACATGTCACAGTAGAGGGACACAATATGATCCCGAAAATGTTAATAATAGGGCTCCTTTAGGGATGTTTCTTGGTGCCTTGGATTATTTGTTTATTATTTTTACTTGGATGTTTTGTAAATGAGGTCTCTACCTGAAAATGTTTAAGTTTGAATTCAAGTTGAACGAATTGATAAACATTTATATATCCATACATCAATACCAAGGATCTGTGCAGCAGATCTGTATGTTGACTTATCAAATGGTGCCTCAGTAAGCTTCGCTTTCCCCATCACTACAAATGATGCACACAGCAAAAATTGTGAAAAAAACATCATATAATCATCATATCATATAAAATATTTTAAGTGATACTTCTGCTTCTGCCCCCCAGCTGCGTCTATCGTTATTCCAACCCAGTTTAGATTTAACCACGCCCACTTCCGCATTACGCAAGGATCGACGTAGCTCTACGCGATAGCGTCATAGACACGGCACACCCGCGAAATCTGAATCTGACAAGCAAAATACCGTCCTTATAAACGCTGCATAATATACAATATAATAGTGCTTCTTTGTCAATATGACTGACGACCACACTTATGCAGTGCTGAGGTAATGTTAATTCATCATTTAATATTAATTCCTGATGGATATAAGAGGGATACCATTTTTTTTTTGTTCTTTGTTTTGTTTTTGTAGGACGATCACGAAAAATTATGTCTAGTCACACTGAAAAAAATCATCCTTCGACTTTTCTCTTTGTCATTTTATTTCAGTGTGTGCACCAGCGCGATGTGCATGGTGGAGGGTAGGAGACAGAAGAGCGAGTTTGGGAGAGAGATTTATGGTAGGAGGCAAGGGCTCCGGTCGATTTGGCTCCCTATAACCTGGGAAGACGAAAGACGGAATTTCTGCTTCGATAACGCGTCGAAGTACGTACCTGTGTGATAGATCGATGCTAACAACAGTGTAAAAGGGGGGGTACGGAAGTTGTGTTCTTTTCGCGTAACGGGTGAGGCGGATGTTGGGTGGGTGGTGTTTTTTTTTTGATTACTTACGTCTAAATTGTTAAGGGTTTTATTTAGTAAACAGTTTTCTCGAGATAATTTTTCTGTCTACGTTGTTTTTTTTTTTTTTTTATTATTCTCACTACCAACCGTACATTTTTTGTGTATTCGTGTTGTAGTGTTTGAGTGTCGTGATTTTTTGTATATAATGTCTGTGTGTTTTGGTGTTTGTGACACGGCAGTAGCGGAGTACGCGAGCGGCGGCAGGGATGGTCTTTTCGTTTCGACTCCTTACTCGAACTCTCCACGTTGAAGAATTAGAAAGCCCGGCGCAGATAGCTAATAAGGTTGGGTCAAATCTAAATTGTGTGCGGGTGAAGGGCATAATGCGTTCCTTTGCATCAAAAATCGCAAGTATCTGGCAAGTAGAAGCCGGGTCAATATCGCCAGCGCCAATTTCGTCCTATAACCCTTATCAACCAAAAACAGAAAGGTTTCCTAAACAGACTGAGCTTCATTTTTCTGCTAGTTCTCAGGACCTTCTAACAGTAAATGACCACAAAATTAGTACAGAGTCGCCACATTCTCGTCTTTAACTATATAGGGAACTGATAATGACGCATCGGATGGAGAGTAAATAGGGGACTGTCGTCAATAAATTACTATGATAAAAGATATATTATTATATGAGTATATTATGTGTGTAAATAATGTTAAATATTTGGATATATAATATATTGTTTTGTGTTGTGTTGGTAGTCCTATGAGTGTGTACCTTAATGAGTAGGATAAGGGGATTGTTATTGTATGTTGTTTTTTGTGGGAGTATGGTGTGGTGGTCGTAATAAATTTTAGCTGATTGATAGATATATTATAAGTGGAGTAAATAAGTTAATAGTTGTTAGTGATAATGCAGTATATATTACTGCGCATGATTGGTATGGAGTGTGAAAAGTATTGGTCATCGATGAGCAGCGTGTGGCCCGGCTGCTCTTTGAACGCGGACGATCCACCAGCTGATAACGCTTAGTCGTTCGCCCTCAGTTGCTGTCTCGTCACAGAGATGGTTGACATCCCATTGCACATAGTGAATGGCAGTCACGTTGACCAACGTGTGACATGTGCAGCTCGATCTATAACTAGTTTACGTCACAACGACCGGGGGTGAGCAATATAATTCGATGAGAACGGTCGTGTGTGTGTGTTATGTAGTTATAATGGGCGGATATTGTGTTTTTGTTGTGTCATATTATTAATTATTAAGTAAATATTATTAATTATTATATCACGTTATTATTGTATTATTACCCAACTTAAGTTAAGATAGGGAAAACAAAAAGGGAGGTACTTGTAAAGTTAAATTTTCTATTAAAAGTTTTTAGTTTATAACCCACCCACCGACGAAAACGTTCTATTAGTTATTGGTGGCGTGACTGGTCAAAGCAACGTCTAATTATGTCGTATGAGACAAGTCAATGAGATGTGAGTGTCACACGGCTAACGTAGCCTACCTAGGGCAGCACAGACAATAAAACTGTATACAAGAAATGAAGGTCAGGTGGTACTGAGAAAGATAGTAAGAAGACATGGTGGAGACCTTTTCTGAACTTATTACAATACTATTTTGGTCTTAGCCTGTAAAAATATTTACGAGAGATCTAATAGGCAAAAATGTATAGTCTGTTTGTTTTTTGCTTTCGAAATCTATAGCAATAAATACAAATTTATTTATCTTGCTTTTTTCGGAACCATAAAATGTATAATAATCCGAAAGGCAATTTCGGTCTTTAGATTTGACCTGTTTGTACATGTACTGTCTGTGCAATGACGTGGTGATTCAATATGCTAACTATCTAAAACTCCCTAGATATGACGGACTACCGAAGGCGAACTTTCTATTACGAGATATGGGACTGGTCAGTAGCGTCAACATGTCGTATGAACATGAACAATGACTAACCAGTAATAGCCGTACCGAGGAGAGGTTATGTTCTAGAATAGTCAAGTTAGAGGACGTACATGTGGCCTAATTGTAAAGATGATCTACACGCGGACAAAGTCAGAAAAATATTATGAGTTTCTTTACTGTGAGTAATAGATATAACTATATTATCATATAAAATATCGTATGAATAATATATACATATATTATGACGTCATGCAATATC